AAATAAACCCAGATATTTACAAATTAAAAAAAAAACAACCATCAGCTACATGTAAAACTATACACAATAGAAAATTGAGGAAGGAGGGCCAATGGAACTGATATTTTCTTAGATTATTAGCACTACTAGCTAGAAATACAGGAATGAATATAAAAGGCATTTATGTGTCTCCTCAATCTCTACAAACTTGTATCAAAATTAGTCATTTTGAAAAATGATACATTTTAAAATTTCTTATGCTTTATCTATCACATGACCCTACATCTGTAATATAACTTCCTGGCCCCCAAAACTGCGCCCATCCTTATAATCTTCATAATAACAGGAGTTCCAGACAAGCCAAATCAGTGAACCCTGAGCCATACCCTAGTGCATCCCAACCAAGTCAGTGATACCCACTGCCTGATAATCTTCCAGTGTTTTTCACCTAAACAATCTAGTTACATTAGGAACTCAGAGGTCATCTATAGTACAAAGTGAGATGAATAGAACCGTTCAGTTGCAACTCCTTTTGTAACCCAAATTATCTCACATCCACCTGGTAAACAGAGGAGTGATGTGATTATATCACCCCAAAATGTTGGTTCCTATAAGATTTTCCCCAATACATTAATTATTTAAACATCCAACAGTAAGTTTCCTCATAGGTAAAGAGAAAGACCTAGCAAAATATAATGACAAAGTTTAAAGGGTGGAGTTCCTGCAAAAATAGCTCCATTTAGTGACAGCAGTGGTTCGTTGTATGGCCGACACACCCAGAAGTGGCCTCCAGTGACTCCCCTTGAGTGCGGTTGAAACCTGTGTTGTGTTACAAGACTTCCTCTTGGCGGACTGGAGTAGAGATTTCCTCCTAGTCTAGAAGTAGCTGCAATGTTGCGAGAGAGTTGAGTAAGAGCCTGTGAGAAAGGCACATGGCAAGGAGCTATGGGCAGCCTATAGAAACTGAGACCAGCTCCCCACTGACAGCCATCAAGAAGAGGGGGACCTCAGTCCTGCAACAACTAGAGACTGAATTCTGCCAACAATGATGGGACCTCGGAAGAGGATCCAAGCTCCCAAAAGAAACACATGGCTGTCACCTGGATTGCAGCCATGTGGGACCCGGAGCAGATGACACAGTTGAATCAGTCAGACTCTGACCCACAGAAATTGTGAGACAATAAATATTCCTTTTTTAAGTCCCTAAGCTTGTGATAATTTATTACCCGGCAATAGAAAACTAATACAATTGTTTTAGCCGCTTGAAAAACTGCCATACATTCCATCATGTTAAATTATATGGGGACCCTGGGAATACAGATGAAGGAGCTGCAAAGACATTTCCCCCAGGATTAAAATAATTGAATGTGAAGACGTCTACACTCTCGATTAGATTTTCAGTTTTAAAGAACCTTTCTCCCTTATAAGCAAATGACCTCAAGGGCCTCATTCTTAGGAAAACAGCCCACGTTCCAGTTTAAGGCTGTAAGGAATCAGCTGGTTGAGATGTTTGTGATAATGATGTTGGTGACAGAGAAGATGTAACTGTGCTAGTTTCCTCTTCCTTTTGTTTTGTTTTAATTTTCAGTAATTTTCCAGTGTGATGGTTACAGTTTCGTAAAGTTTGTAAATGATTTTTCTCTGCTCAATTTTCCCCATAAGCCCTGTAATTTTTAGTGGGCTGTATTACAGATGTTATATGGGACACACACACACACACGCGCGCGCGCGCGCACATAAAAGGCATCACAGCAGAATCTATTCTAAATTTCTCCATCCCCACAACAAAGACACAAATGACAGCATAAGCCTGGAGACAAGGTACCTTCTCCTTTGGACCTGGTTCTCTTCAAGAGACCCCGAGTCCACTGGAGAATTAATGTTTTGCTCATGCTGTCCTACGCCCATCACAAATATTTGGTTAGGTGTCAGTCCAGTAGGAAACAACGGCTATGTTCAATGTTTGATTCTTCAGTAACCCCCTCCATCACCTTGATGTACACTGTACTTGGTGCTGGCACAGAAGGCATATTTTCACCCTGCTGGTGTGGCTCAGTGGATTGAGCATCATCCCATAAACTGAGAGGTCCCAGTTCAATTTCTGGTCAGGGCACATGCCTGGGTTATGAACTTAACCCCCAAAATGGGGGGCCTGCAGGCCAATGGATGTAGCTCTCTCACATCGGTGTTTCTCATTCTCTTTTCTCCTCTCTCTCTAAAAAATCGATTAAAAAAAAAAAAAAGAAACCATATTTTCATACAAACAACCATTTTACTAACTGAGGTCAATGTAAGGGGTAATTTTTATTTTTTACTAAGCTGCTCTATACTTCTGTCATTAAAGCTTCTTGTATTTCCAACTACATTTATTTCATTATTTGCTGCTTGTCTGCTGGGGTGAAAACAATAACTATTTTTTTTTAATAGAGAAAGAGCAAACTGCCATGAAATAGAACAGGGGTTACAAAACTGTGACCCACAGGACACATTTTGCTGACCCCCTGATTTTGTAATTAAAGTTTTATTGGAACATAGCCACATCCACCTATTTACATATTGTCTACGAGTTCTTTAAAGATGCAGTGGCAGAGTTGAGTAGTTGTGATAGAGACAGTGACAGTATGGTCCATGGAACCAAAAATAGTTACTGTTTGTTCATTTAGAAAAAATGTTTGCCAACCCCTGAAATTAAAGCTTGACACCCCAATATATCAGAAAAAATTTATATTCTCTGTTTCCCTTTCTTTTAAAATAATGTATTGATACTTTAGAGAGAGAAGAAGGGAGAGAGAGATAGAAACGTCAATGTGAGAGAGAAACATTGATTGGCGGCCTCCTGCACGCCCCCTAGTGGGGATCGAGCCCACAATCTGGGCATGTGCCCTGACTGGGAATTGAACCAGGACCGCTCAGTCCATGGGACAAGGCTCAATCCACTGAGCCACACCGGCCAGGCTGTTTCCTTTCTTGATTTTTATTCCAGAGTAAGGCATCAAGTGGATACTTGTGCCATCAAGTCTATCTCCCTAAAGGTACTTTAAGGAACAGGAAAGGCTCCATTAACCAACTGTCAGTCCCTCCCCAACCAAGCATGAAGAGAATTAAAAGGATTTTTAAATGCTCATATTTTGGCAAAAGAAGTCACTTTTATATTTGGTTGGGGAAAAGAACAGTCAATAGCTAGATTTTGACGCGTGCTCCCACATGTGTGTTGATTTTGGATTGTTTGCATTATGCATTGGAATTTGTGTGTGATATATAAACACATAGGCAAGTGTCACACACAATATATGACATCGTTGTCTCCTTTGTCTCCTCCTAAAACAAATCAACCGGATACAAACAATCCACACATTTTGATTGGTTGTCATTTAGCTTAAATAATAACTTCTGTCTTTTTAGATGCAGCCCCCTCCACACATCAAATGCATATATAGGGGAAAAAAGTTAGTCACCTCCTCTTTCCGAGTTATTTAAAGTAAATTCTGCTGAAAGATATTAGGTGAGAAAGGTTCATGTTAAAATAATACAGACAAATGGTGGCTAATACAATTGAAATGATGAATGATCACTTGAATTTTGCCTCAGTCGCGAAGCAGGGTGCTGATGAGCTCAACATGTGGTGCTGCTGTCTCCTATTTGTCATAATTATAGAATAGATTCCAGGTCATTTACCTAGAAAGAGTGTCTCGAGTTTATTGTTTAAATGGAAACTCTTCTCTGCCTGGAAATATTTCTGTGATTTTTTTTTTTTTTTTTTATCATCTGAGATAGATAAGCAATCATCCCTGACAAATTGAATGAAACTCTTATTAGTTGGGAAATTGTATATTCTGAAAATCTCATACTTGTTCACTGGTCTTAAATACTTTGTGGCTGGCTATTTTCTTTCTTTTGTGTCTGTAAAAGTGAGAGGATGTATGTATGTTGGTAAATACATTACTTCAGTGTTTCTCAGAGCCTTCCGCCTGGCATGTCCCATCATCAGTAGTTGTAAGAGGACACTTGCCAGAGCTGGTAGGCACTCATTCTCCAGTCTAAGGACAGAGGAATCTAGAGAAGAATTTTTAAAAAGTGCACATGCTCTCTTGAAAAGTATCAGTCATATCTCACACTTTTATTAATAGATACATTTTCCAAGATTCAATATATTTAAAGCCAATTCTAAAACAAATAAAAACATCAAGCAAATTAAAAGGCCACTGTTTCCTTTCTATATCAATGATCAGCAGATACCTTTGTTTATATTTCATGGAAGAAACAGAAGCAATCAGAAGACCACACCCACAAGTTCCCACCATATAAACTCAGCCACCTACAATTATGCATCAACAGATACCATAAACAATAAAAAAAAAAAAACAACCCACAAAATAGTAGAAAATATTTGCAAATTATATATCAGATAAAGGATTGATATCTTGAATGTTTAGGGAAATCATAAAACTCAACAACAACAAACACTTCAGAAATAAGCAAGGGACTTGAATAGACATTATTCCATTGAAGATACACAAATGGCCAATATTCACTTGAAAAGGGATTATCAACATTACTAATCACCAGGGGATGCAAATCAAAATTACACTGAGATACCACCTCACACCCACTTGGATGGCTACTATTAAACACACACACACACACAGAACATAACCAGTGTTGGTGAGGATACAGAGAAACTGAAACAACTTCTGCACCATTGATGGGGATGCAAAATGGTACAGTCTTTGTGGAAAACAATTCCACAAAAAATTAAAGATTGAATTACTCTATGATTCAGTATTTCCGCTTCTGGATGTTACCCAAAAGGACTGAAATCAGGGTCTTCAGATATTTGTCCACCCATTTCATTAACAGATTAATGGATGAGCAAAATGTGGGTAATACATGCGGTAGAGTATCATTCAACCTTATAAGAAGGAAATTACAACATATGCTACAGTGTAGATGAACCCTGGGGACATTATGCTAAGTGAAATAAGCCCATGACAAAAAGACAAACACTATACAACTTCACTTACCTGAAGTACTGAGAGTAGTCAAAATCATAGCGATGAAAGTAGAATCATGATTGTCAGAGGCTGACAGGAGGGAAAAAAGAGGCAGGTATTATTTAATTGGTATAGAGATTCAGTTTTGCTAAGAGTTCTGGAGATGATTGGTGATGATGATTACACAACAATATGAATGTAGTTAATACCACTTACTGCTTACTTAAAAATGGTTAAGACAGATTTTGCTCATTTATGTATAATTTGCCACAATTAAAACATTAAAAATATTATCATTTTCTTTCATTTCAATCTCAGTTTTAACGGAGATTAAAAAATGAAGTCAGAGGTTTAATCAAGTTTTTTTAATGCCCATGAACCATATGCAATTTAATTGATTCTCAGAAGAAACCTCCTTTACCAATTTTCCAGCCAAGTCAATGAGGAAAAGGAAAACTAAACCAACATCAAATAAACAGTCAATGTCCTAATAAAGTACCCAAAATAGAAGTTTATCTCTTTTGTTGTTAATGAATGGGCACTAGCTTTGTTTGTAACTATGGTAGGATATTGTAATCCATGTTCTCTTGCTGGTGAATGCCTAGCTTTGTTTTGCTTCATCTCCCTTCCAAAACACTCTGTAACTATCAGCTTCTCCTTCCACAGAATTTTACCTAGATGGTGTCACTCCCTCCATTCACCTGCAATTTCTTTTATCCAACTGTGCCTTCCCTAAAAAGAGAGATGTCTTCTTTCCGTCAGTATGCACGTGTGTTGTTTTTAAGAAAAATGAAAAACTGCAGATACTTCCTTTATTTTTAACTCTTGCAAGCAAGATGAAAAGATTTACAGAGACTGGTAACTAAGCAACTGAAACAAAAATCTAAATAATGTCATCTTGTTAGTAAGATTTGAGAACACACTGAGCATCCCCTATTTATTGCCTCACTAAAAGTCATTAATTCTACATGGCAACGTATCTTCTAATGAAGCCTTCAGTATGGTTATTTGGGTATTTGTCAGCCATCCGGAATTCTTTAGTAAAACAGCAGTTCCAAGTATGCAGATTACACAGTGCAGATATAAACTGTTACAAAATACACACCGGAGAAAAAAACATTGTCAATATCAAAGCAGGTTCCTCAAGTACCTACATTGGACAATTGAGAGAAATTGATAATGAAAATCAATGGCCTCCTGTACTTTGTATGGAAGTAAAAGTTCTTACAAACTATTCATATTTTACCCAATGTTTAGTCAATGCATAAGTCCACTAACATGTACTGACCATATACCATCAGCCAGGGACTGCGATTTGTGTGTTCATATGTATTGTTTTACTTAATTCTCATACCGTTTCTGTATTATTACTACAATTTAATCTAGGAGACGAAAACTGCTTATTGAGAGATGAAGTTGATATTAAATGTGTGTCTGTTTGATTAAAAAGATAATACAGTTTCTACTGGTGTAAAATTAGTTCATTCATTGGATATTTATTGGTATTCTTCTTGGTGCAAGTTCTTGGCATAGGTATTTGAGATATAGTGGCTTTCATCAAGAAGCTTGCTCTCTCATTGGTTAACTGCAATGAAAATTCATACAATTATAATATAGGGAATGGTGTAATAAATTTGAATGGGAGCTTAATAAAGTAAATGCAGTAGAAGCACAAAACGAAGGCTCTGCATCTCTGCAATCAGTCTGGTTTGACAAAGTTCAGCATAATAGTGATCCCGTAAATCTTCAAGCCTTAGATGGAAGAATCAGTGAGAAAGAACATAAGCCCAGCACACAGCGGCTTTACTTCATCTCTCCTCTAACGCACAACAGAACATTATATAGATGCTGGCACCCCTCCAACAACCCCATCTTCCTCTTTAGTTCATATTTGTTAAAAGAATGACTAAATAAATACATGCTTTCATTTTCTTTTGAATGGCATGATGAGAATGAGCTTTGGCAGCAGTATGTGTGTGTTTCTTCAAGAGATATCAGAAGAGGAACTCATTTTTTCAACTTCTGAGAAACAAAATCATACCATGACAGATATTGACTGGACTGGAATCGTTATTGACGATAGCAGCTAATTAGAGTTCATTGTGAGAACCAAAAGGGCCTACTAAATGAACTTCAGAACTAGACCAATGTCCAAAGTCAGTCCTGGGACACTAAATCCAAGCAGGCTAGTCATTAGTTTTTTTGCAAATGAGTACTTGATCCAAGACCAACAAGATGGGCTTAACTGCATGTTTATCAGAAAGATAAGTCATATCATCTACGGGAGTAGAGCGAGACAAATGAGAAGGAAGGCCTCAGAAACATAAAAGGCAATTTCAGGAGTAGGAAATAACTATTTCCCCCTAGAAACAGAGAAGATAAATTGGTACAGGTAAGAGTCTGGAGGCCAGAACGTCATTTTTGGAAGAAAAGGTGAAAACAAAATATTCTTGACCAATAATAAAAGCTAACATTTATTGATTCCTGCCAAGTTGTTTATACATGTCAGTTCATTTGGTTTTTCAGTCATCGAATGGAATTTTATTATGCCGATTGTCTAGATTAAGTGCTTTAGGCAAACTCATCCACCCAGTAAGTGGCGGAAGTAAGATCCAAAACCAAGCAGTCAATCCCCAACTTCTGCCTCTCAATAGTTTTACCTACCTCACTACATTTCAAGGAAGAGATATGCCATCTCAGGAATAAATTTATCAAAGAATTGATACAGGAGGGTGGAAATGTCAAAGGAAGAGAAAGAAACTAAAGATAAACCTGAGGTTTCAAGCCTGGATAATGTGAATCATTATAGTTCCATGAATAAAAATAGAGATGTTGGGAAAACTTAGGGGAGTGTAAGATAAGTCCTACTTAGGTTATGTTTAATTTGAATTGTCAGAAAGACATTTCAATGACAATATCCATTGCAATCATGAAACTGGAGATGAAGACGTGGAGTCAGGTTTGGAGTTATGAATTCTGGAGAGAAAAGTGAACCAGAACTCATCATGTATTATTTTACTAATCTGAAGTATGGATTCATCTCAGGGATTTAAGAGTCATCTGTAGAGCAGAGCAACGGTAACCAAGGAAATAGAAGGAGCGTGTGTGTGGCCATCATGTAAGAGAGGAAAAGAAAACCAGGGTCATGGAATCAGAAAATATCCTTGTTGCAAGGGAGGGAGGAAAAAGAAATGCCTAAGAAGAAGCCAGCAGAGTTAGAGATAGAAAAATATGTAAGATCCAGACAGAGAAGCACAAGAAATAAATGTTTTCAAAGGAAAACATGAGTGTTAGCCATCTAAGTTCTTGTTGGATTGTTGAGAGGGACGGAAGAAGAAATTTGATTTAGTGTTCATCAAGCTCTGGATGGCTTCCATAGTTTCAATCAAAAGAAAAGTCTGAACTCAAAATTTGAGCATTTGGGGCATACATAAAATTATCCTTTAGAAGTGTTTAAAAATTAATTTAAAATGTGATAGTGGATAGGAACAAAGAAGAAATCACTAAGGAGGAGAGATTTTTTTTTTTTTTTTAAGTAAATGGACTTGTAAGATACATAGGAAAGAGCTAGAATAAGGAAAGAGAGAAACAATAGCTGATGAAACAAGATTCCAAAGAAGATACAAACAACAACATCAGCAAAACACAAACAACAAAAGAAGACTTGAGTTTCCTCTGATTCCCTTCCAGACTTCCTCTGTTCCAGGGCCCATTATCCTTTTCTTCCAATGGGTCCCTGGCCCTAAGCCGTATTACTATCTTTTAAAAAACTGATTCTAATTTCTTGTAAAATTTATAATACATATATATAATAAAATTACAGTAAATCTTTGTAACTACACTTTCTTTTGGTCCTAACAATAACCGCACAGGATGAGGCACTGAGGCATTGGATGAGGCATCAAATCATCACTCTGATACCAGATCTCTAACACTAAATCCTTCTGACCTCAATTTTCCAATTTAGAAAATGGAAATGGACATGGTAATTTCATAAGATTGTGAGAATAAGATGAGATAAGTCTAAGTAAAGCATTGAACAACAACTTGATATTTTCAAAATGCAAATTTCTATCTCTTTTTTTAAAATAATTTTTATAGTCTTCAGTACAAGAAAATATGCTAAGATGAGTCTTTTGCAGTGAGAATTATACAGCAGGAGATAGAGAAGGAAAAAGATGAGAATGCATGCTCAGTGTCCATATCTTTGTAAAGATGGTGATAAGAATAGCATAGAAAGGGTAGGAATGAGAATTTTCTCAGGCCAGAAATGTTGAAGATCCTCTTGGGGAGGTCCTGCATATATGTGTTTGGTTGTGTGCATGCACACTTGTGTGAATGTGTGTGTGTGTGTGTGTGTGTGTTCATATTCTAGCAAATAAAATAGGTTTTTAATAAATTTTTAACCATAAACTGGCTCAATAGAATCACCCCAGGACTTGAGTTTAAAAGTATTTCAATTTCCTAGGCCCCATTCATTCACTTTGTCAGCAAACATATTTTGAATTCCATATAATTAGCAGGCACTGTGCTAGGCAATAGAGACACAGAGAGAAAGTGGACCATGCTTCTATTCTCAAGATTCTTACTTCCTTGCAGGGAGAGACATCTGAAAGCAAAGCATTAGTGGGTTATAAAAAGTCATCTGAAGGAATGGAAAATCACCATTCCACAATGATGAACAGGAGTCAGATAATTTAAGAAGAGCAGCTCATGGTGCATAAAGATGAGATAAAGAGGTTCTCAAAGGAAGAAAAACTAGGAGACAATTGTTTTCCATCATGTATGCTCTGTGAGAGATACTGAAGAAAGTTCTTTAGGCTGATGAGGAATACTACTAAAAGGAAACCTCATATTCATGAATAAAGAGCAACAGAAATGGTAAGTATTTGGGTAAACATAAATACTTTTGTTAATCTAATATAGGTATGACAGTTTACAGCAAAGATTGCCTGCTGGGTGCAGTGTATGTTATAATATATAGTGTGTGTATGTTAAACATCACTTACACTGGGGACGGTCAAGGAACCTAAGTGGTTCTACAGGAGGTTTCTACATTTTGAAGTGCTATGCTATGAAATCTAAGTAGA